TGACATTGAGTATCTGCTGCCAGAATTTCACATGGAATTTCAAACTTTGAAGCAAGGTATGGTGCTACATCAAAGGAAGTATGTCAAAGAGATACTCAAGAGATTTAGAATGGATGATTCGAATACTGCATCCTCACTTATCGAACCAAATATGAAGTTGGAGAAGCATGGAGAGGAAGACAAAGTCTATGTAACTTTGTTTAAACAAATTGTGGGATCTCTAAGATATGTGTGCAACAATTGAACTACTATAGGTTTTGCAATCAGATTAGTGAGAAGATACATGAGTGAACTAAGAGTGTCATATATGAAGGTTGCGAGAAGAATTATGAGATACTTAAAAGGATCGACAGACTATGGAATTCTATTTCAACGATATTATGAAGGCAAAGAAGCAACAATTACTTGTTTTTCAGATGTTGATTGGTGTGGAGATAAGGAAGATTGAAGAAGCACAACTGGATATTTCTTTCACGTATTTGGTGCCCCAATCTCACGGTGTTCGAAAAATTAACCCGAGGTGGCATTATCATCGTGTGAAGTTGAATATATAACATGATCATATGTTGCATGTCAAGCAATTTGGACCAGATCTTGAAGAAATGGAGGTTTGAAGAAACCTCTTGTGTTACAAATTGACAACAAGTCATCCATATATCTGGTGAATAATCCAATTTTGCATGGAAGAAGTAAGCATATCGAAGCTAGATTTCACTTCTTGAGGAAAAAGGTAAATCAAGGTGAAATTGAAGTTAGGCATTGCTCAAGTGAAGCACAATTGGCCGACATTTTCACTAAAGGATTGAAGATCGACAAATTCCTGAATTTGAGAAAGAAATTAGGAATAGTTCATATTAACTATGATTAGTGTAGGTTCGACGAATTGGATTGTAGGAGGATATGTTGAGATATTAGATATAATATCAAATATAATACAAGTTATATATGTTGAGATATTAGATATATATCAAATATAATCCAAGTTGATAAGCCCAAGCCCAATTAGGGTTGTATATAAATAGTCGTAGTTTGTATCATTATTTTTATAATTCAAGTGAATAATATAATTCTTGTTTCCTTATTATTCTCTCTTTCTCTGCTCACTAAAAGTGCCTTATGCACTACAAATTGGTATCAGAGCCCGGTTTTGAGAAAGGGACTAACTTACTTGTATCGAAATCCCAAGAAGAGGTGTTTTGTTGCAAGGTGTCAACGACAGTACAAAATGTCTTCAGGGGGAGCATTATGGACTCACACTTGTGAGGGGTGTTAGAATAATAATACAAGTATGAATAAGTGGGGAAATAGTCACACATTAGATAGAAATATGGTGACTTGAACATTTATAAGTTGGAGAATCTACTCACCTATCACCTTAAGGTTTTAGGTAGACAAGTGGTGTGTCTCCCACAAAGGTGCGTTGCACAAATGGAAAAGTCCCGAAAATAAAATGCGCCTCGCTCGACCCTCTACTAATTATTTCACTAACAATTATGAGAACATTTCCAAATGTGTTGAACAACTTTGTAGAATTAGGATGAGTCCAAATTATATCTCTAGCGGTCACTCCATCCTCGCACATTTGGTACCTAGATACGTAATTGTTATCATCTAGAAGTTTCAATAAGTGTTGCATTTCAGTTCTATCCCCCCTCAATGCTAATTTAGATTGATAATGCCTATTATAAACTTGCTTGATATTTGGGATATTCCCTGGACTTTTACGCTTCAAGGTTGCAAGAATGATTTTTGGTTGCACCAAATTCGATGTCATGTCAGAAACACATTTATTCTCTTTCGTCAAGAGGTGGCATTCAATTGGATGACCAAATAACTTTTTACACAAATCATAGTTATGTAAACCACATATCACATTAAATCTCCATTTTTTATTTTCCAACTGATAACCATGCAATTTAAAGGGACACTCACATTTTTTTGAATCGGCTTTATCTCGTTTGAAATTCTAGATAGGAGGTCTATATTTCTCACTTATTTCACAAGTCAATGTCACAAATGCACCTCTTATATTTGAACCATTATCATACCTTCTGATTACAACACCAAACCCCAGTTTGGATGCCTCTATATGAATCTATTGAAGCATGTGATCACGAAATTCAAACTCTTGTTCATTTTTAAATTGGTTACCTACATCTACCTCCTTCACAACTACACATGAATAATCCAAAGATACAATAGGTTTGAGGAAAGCATCGGGATGCACCATATCTAATGAAAACAAAAACATAAATACTTAGAAACATCTAAAATAGAAAACAGAATGCTAGAAAATCAGAATAAACAACTTTTGGAAATGCATCTCCGGATGAGTTCATCCATAATTTGGAGATACATTTATGGATATAATGTAACATTTTCTGCTACAAAACAGGATTAATGTGAGCAATGAGGCTTGAAATGAATGAACTTTACCTTGAATTCAAACATCTTTTGCTCCTTCGCATTTGATGAAACACAAGAATGAAGATTTTGATTGAAAATCTTTATTGAGAATGGATGGGTTTATGGGGAAATGGATATGAAATTTGATCTTGCAAGTGACTATTTTTAACAATAACACATTTGATTTTTCCAGAGATGCATCTCCGAAATAATTTGACATGCAAAGGTGATAGATTTTCATATTCCCATTCTAAAGGTTCGGAGATACATCTTCGTATAACAACCTGGAATCGACAACAAAAAATATATTAGATACTATTCAATGGAGATGTATCTCTGGAAAAAAATCTTGTTGGCATATAAGGCGAAACCATTTTTTCTCGTTGGCGTGTAAAACAAAAGGTGCATACGGAAATGTATTTTCGAAAACTGAGAGGTATTTTTGGTTTTCCATATAATTCTATTCTACCTCTTAGGGTGGACTAAAAAATTCCCTTATTTTAAGAATTTTATCTAACACTCCCAAGAACGCGTCCCACACCCTATAATTTTTAAAATTTCTAATTTTAACCCTCTTATAGTTTTTTTATAGTTTAATGAACTACTTTATTGAATTTTAAATATATATATATATATATATATATATATATATATATATATATATATATATATATATATATATATATATATATATATATATATATATATATATATATATATATATATATATATATATATATATATATATATATATATATATATTTATATTGCATCCCTACATCATGTAGCGGTGAAAATCGGAGATCAAGCTATTAATTAACTTGACTTGCAAAAGCAAGAGTCGCCACCGCGCTTTATTATTTCCAAAGGAAAAGGGAAAAGAGCGAAATAAAACCCTAAAATATGCAATGTATAATAATACTTAAAAGTAATGAAAATACAATGCGTTTTGAAAAAGAGATCGAGAGTTCGGGGGTTGGTTATACAATGGGAAGGTATTAGCACCCAATGCATCTGCGGTACTCCGCAGGAACCTTTTGAAATATCTGTTTTTGGTTAAAATTGTTTGTTTGATTAAAATGGTTCGTTTGGCTAAAAGATGGGTATGGACGAGATTTTTGAAGATACGACGACCTAGTGTCGAAGTTTTGACTTAAAAGGTGTGAGTTTGAAAATGGGGTCTTTTGGAAAATTATCTTGAGTTTAGCAAAATAGTAATCAAACAAAAAATGAAAAAGGGTATTCGCACGATCGGATGAGATGTATTTGATGACGTGAAGTCAACAAATTTAAATCTTTCCCTTGGAATTAAAACCACAGACGGATAAATAAGCTAAGAGTATATCAAACCTTAGGTGAAAATAAATCACAAGCCGACAGCATCATCAAAAAAAAACCTAATGTGAGATAATGCTCCAAGCATCAGATAAAGCGCAAAGGCGGTGGATAAAGCTCACGGTGTCAGATAAGAATCCCTGCATCACAAGAGATATACCGATAAAATCTAACAGCACGGGAAACTTATGTGCGTCCGCACAATTTTCAGAAGTTAGTTGGAATTAAAAATAAAATCACCATGCGATGAAAATAATATTTTCAAAACCTGAATTTATTTACAAGTAAAATATACAGTCAAAATATTATGTACAAGTATATATTTACAGTACCAAATGTTAAATCAGAATAGTAAAATAAAATGAAAAGGTAAAAGGGAGAAGTGTAAGAGTTATTGATGCGCTATGTGAGAATGGATACTTAAAACGATTTTCGAAAACCTTCACAATAAGCAAACTCGTTAGTAGCATAAGCGGTATAAAAATTAAAATGAATGAAATCGCAACAATTAAAAACTTTGTTAGAAATCACAAAATAAAGAAATGAAATGAAATTGTATGAATGCACATGAATATTTACAAAAATAAAAATCAAGAATTCATGACATTATTCCATGTAAACACAAAAAATCAACATTGTGCACATTATTTCAAATGTATCAAAGGCAACCACTATTTCAAGCACAACGGAAAACAAATATCCAAAGCTCACTTTGCGACATGAGAAATTGAATTCAAAACATAAACCAAATAAATGATGATTACTCAAAGTACCCAACAAAAAATCAACATGGCATTCAATGTTCTAAACACATTTAAACTCAAGCAAACACAATGTTGAACATGGTCATCAATTCATTTGAGATTCACATTGCAATTTACATCTTATATGCAAGAAGTTAGAAATGATTCATATGCATACACATTATGTACAATAGAACCACTTTGATAAACTAAAAATTAATATGAAATAATTGAATAATAAACTAAACATTTAAAATTTTAGAGATTTATCTATGAGAGAATAAATTAACTAGACTATAAATAATAAAATAAAAATTAATTTTAGAAAGGAATATAAGAAACACAAACAAAAGCAAACCACCCATGCTCAAATGACTTACTTGCATTGTCCACATGAACAGCTACAGAAAACTCAGTTGGTTGGAAACAAACTAGCACCCTCATCACCATTTCGTTCAGATTCATTGCCTTCAAATCGTACCCTGCAGTCTCAAAGCTTGCATAGCTGAAACCATCTTAAGGAGTAATATGAATTGTAGATACAACAGGCCCCTCAACAGAGTTCATTGAATAACCACAAGGTTCAAAATCAAGGTCGCAAATTTCAGAATTTGGAAGAATTTTTCTAATGCCGGAGTTGACGGTCATCTCGGCAGCTGAACCTGTTTGTTCTTTGAAGAAAACGGATGCTTTCTCTCTGTCTAAGCCGGTCATACACATCTCAAGTGTGTAGACAGAATCTGCTGGGCTCACGGAATCGGCAGAGGCACAGTTGGGCAGAAGATCAAAGGGAGTATGGTGGTGATAATGATGGCGGGATAGCGGGTTAAGGCGCGACACTGCAATCTGAAGGGGACGAAGTTCATCCTAGCAGTAGGAGCGTGAAGTTGATGATGTCTAGTGAAACATCAGAGTTTGAATTAAGAAAGCACGGAGATGACAAAGCTTGAATCAACACGAACCTATGAGAGATTGAGGCGAGATGATGAACAACATAGCACGACGGGAGCGATGAAGGGATGTAGAAGGAAAAGCCGCTGCATTTTAGATTGAGAGAGGAAGAGATCGTGTTTTTATTCTCTTATGTTTCAAATCTCTTGAGTTCTAATAACATGTTCATGTTTCCTGGATCTGTTTATGCTTTTTCTGGGATAGTGGCAGTATTTGTGAAGGTTGTGAGGGGCATGAGCAAGAAGAGAGCAAGGACAACAAGAAGAACAAAAAAACAGCGGCAGCTGAAACTGTTAGAACCAGAACAGGCACTGTCATCACTATGCCTTTGGACATAGCCCGTGAAACTGAAAGCGCCATCAATGACTAACCCTCTTAATCTCACCTTCTGAATCCTTTTGAAGGTAGATCGATCTAGTGAGAGGGTAATCAGTTGAATGGGTTGAAAGAGAGAGAATCTCCGACAAGAGTCACCTGTGACAGCGATAGTAGACTATGTTGTTGTTGGATTTTGTTATTGATTGAAAAGGAATTGTTTATTGTTGATTGAAGAATAAACAATTGTAGGGTGTGTTATTTGAGTAATGTTGAAGAAGAAGCAATGGGTTTATGAATGAGAATCTGTTTTTTTTTTTGGGAAGAAATTTGGAGTGGTGGAGTTATTGTGAAGAGAAGAGGATAGTTTTGGGGACTGATGCGCAAAGAGAGAGGAATAATTGAAGAGCTATTTACTGTGATGTTATTTTGTTTTTTTCTCCCCTTCTACAAAGTGATAAAGGTGCTACTTAAATAAGAAAATAAAGAAGAATATTGTTTTCAGGTTTAATCCCATCCGTCCAAAATTATTAAATCTGCATCTATCCGCTATTTTTGCTAACAGCCAATAAGAATCAAGCACAGTGTAAATAATATTTTTGTGACCAAATAACCCTTAAATGATAAAAATAACCAAAAAGACTAAGAATATTAAAATTAACTCCATTGAAAATAATTTTTTTTGAATCTTTTCTGAATAAAAAATAAGGACCCAAAATGACTAAAAACAATAAAAAACGGAAGAAAATTTATCCGAAAAATTAATATGAACACATTAAAATAAACTGCATGTAAAAAAGATTAAAGAAAAAATATTTAAAAGTCAAAGTCAAAATAAAATGATAATAAAAATATCAGGCTAAACAGACGTTTAGGGTTAAAAACGAGACTTCGAACTGTACCGAAAAAATAAAGCGAGCATACCGTCATAATCTACGCGAAACGCAGATTCATAAAATGATCGGTAAAAGGTGAAAACTTGAAATATTTTCTCGCTAATTTCCCGCATAGTGTCGAATCGCTTTTAACAGTCTGTCTATAAAACCAAAATATTTTTATTATTGACATATAAACAACTTGGAGCAAGGCAACAAATGAGTAAATAGATAAAAATGCATGAAGCAAAATGTCGGGTATTTTACAACTGAAAGACGATGCAAACTTTGATTTAAACTGACTTTTTCTGATCAACTTAAATACGACTAATGATGCAAAATGTGATGAATGAAGATATTTACTAATGATTGTGACCAAATGACAAAATATGGTATGAATGTGCGACTGAAAAAATTAGGGGCGACATTTAGGGTGCAACAGTTGTGCCTTGATGAATCAATCTTCGAGAATCCACAATCAACCATACTTTTGGCCTGGGAGACTCAAAACCTTAATTGAGGCGCGACACCTGATGCTCTTGATTCAGACCTGTCTCTGCACATGACACAAAAGAAAACATGAACATACACCTTTGTATGCGATTAGAAATTAGTGATACATAGGCTAAAAATGTTCAAAACACTTGACAATCTTCGCATAGTCAATGCTCAAAGGTGAGACGTTAAAACCGACCGTATTTCGTGACCTTGACTTATCTTTAAAAATGCAACAATAAAAATGGGATCTTAGGTCAAAAATTGGGGTACAACAGCTGCCCCTATTTAAGTTTCTTCTATCTGGAGATATGAAGATTGGGATCTTCATTTCGACGAGATTGAAGGGACTTAAATATAGAATACACAATTTTTGGCCTTAAGATACCGCGATTATGTTCATGATATGATATGAATGTAATGCTCTGAATTTTATGGGGAATGACGCCATATGAGACAGACTATGCTGGAGAAACCAAGCACATTACACCGTAATCCTACAGGGGAACAGATTATAACACCACTGGGGAAACAAAGTTATAGACTTCAAATGAGAGACTCTTGAATGATTTACATTAGTATTGAGACTGGAAAAGGTAATGATTTACATCAGTACTGTAACTGGAAAAAGAAATGATTGACATCAGCACTGTGGCTGGGAATAAAATGATTGACATCAGCACTGAGGCTGGAAAAGAAATGATTTACATCAGCACTGAGGCTGGAAAAGGATTGATTTACATCAGCACTGAGGCTGGAAAAGGATTTCTGACTTCTGAATTTCACCGAGAACGGTAACACAATTCTTCTTTAACCAAGATATCGTTTGAAAAGGATAAAATAACAAACTTCCCCATGGAACTCTTCTAAAGAGGTGTCGTTTGTTGAGTAAACATTATTGTTGGGGATACACAAGCTGCTCAAATAAAGAGGCCGCCACTTGCTATCTTTCAAAGGTGTCAATAACATACAAGCTGCTCATGAAGAGACCACCACTTGCTGTCTTCAAAGAATATTAAAGCACACAAGCTGCTCATGAAGAGTCCGCCACTTGTTACCAAAAACCCACAAGCTGCTCATAAAGAAGCTGCCACTTGCTGTCTTCAAAGAATATCAAAGTACACAAGCTGCTCATGAAGAGTCTGCCACTTGTTGCCAATAACCCACAAGCTGCTCATAAAGAAGCTGCCACTTGCCGTTTTCAAGGGAACAATAACACACAAGTTGCTCAAATAGATAAGCTGCCACTTGCTGTCTTCCAAAAATACTAACGTACAAGCTGCTCATGAAGAAGCTGCCACTTACCATTTTCCGTAAATACTAACGTACAAGCTGCTCATGAAGAAGCTGCCACTTGCCGTTTTCCGTACAAGCTGCTCATGAAGAGACCGCCACTTGCCGTTTTCAAAAAGTGTTGATAACATACAAGTTGTCCATGAAGAGACTGCCGCTTGCTGTTTTTAAAAGTGTTGATAACATATAAGTTGTCCATGAAGAGACTGCCGCTTGCTATTTTTAAAAGATAACAATAACACACAAGTTGCTCATGAAGAGACCGCTGCTTGCTGTTTGTCAAGAGTATCCATAACACACAAGTTGCTCATGAAGAGACCGCCGCTTGCTGTTTGTCAAGAGTATCCATAACACACAAGTTGCCTCATGAAGAGACCGCCGCTTGCTGTTTGTCAAGAGTATCCATAACACACAAGTTGCCTCATGAAGAGACCGCCGCTTGCTGTTTGTTCCAAGGTATCAATAACATACAAGTTGCTCATGAAGAGACCGCCGCTTGATGTTTTTTCCAAGGTATCAATAACATACAAGTTGCTCATGAAGAGACCGCCGCTTGATGTTTTTTTCAAGGTATCAATAACATAAAAGTTGTCCATGAAGAGACTGCCGCTTGATGTTTTTTCCAAGGTATCAATAACATACAAGTTATCCATGAAGAGACTGCCGCTTGATGTTTTCAAAAAGATACCCATAAAATATCATGAAGATATTGCTGGAGGTGAGAATCAATAATTTCATCGAGGATGGACAAACTGATCATGAAGAGACCGCCATTTGTCGTAGAGAAATCAAAAATAATCAAACTGCTCAAATAAAGAGTCAGTCGCTTGTTGTCATGTCGATATTCCAGAAGAAGGTTGTGATAACACTGCTGGGGAATAAAGTTCATCTTCAATGGGGAACCATGAATAAATCCTTCTTGAGGAGACCAAGTATTTACGTTGCAAAATAAATGCACTCTCCATCTAGGTTTCACAGCCTAGAGAGATCCACAGGGTATCGTTCACAAGAGACAAAGCTCAATCCAGGAATAAACTGGAGAGAAAATAGTCAAACAAGACTCCACCCAATGAGGAAACAACTCAAATGGGGATTTATCCTATCCAGAGATGGAAAAGGAAAGCTAAAGCAAGATTCTTCCACGAGAGTTAACTCAGTGGGGAATTAGAAAAAGAGGCGCACTTTCTGCTTAAGTTGACACTCTATTTGGAAAGATCAAATACGCTATTTGAATAGACATAACCAAGGTATACACACTCAATGACATCAACAAATACAACTGTGCATGCATGATGCAAGTGTGAATGAATAAATGAATGTCATGTATATGCTGACAAAACAGACAGGGGAGATAGACTGAAGATGATAAGACGTCATAGTATAGCTCGACACTCGGCTAATCTCAACAGGATGGGAACATTACTGGAGATAAAACACAGGCCATCATTGGAGCAAGGTCCTTTTACAAGGCTTAAATATCTCTGGAGGGAAAGATATTTTCAGGTAGAAAACCCAAAGTCCAGTCTTCTATTGCAAACAATCCATTGAAAGGATAACAACACGAACAAAGTTTCAGCTGGAAAGAAGTCTTGCTTAGCCGGAGATACTGGGAACACCACCCTCCGATAATGTGTGCAAAACATATCACATATCTTGACAAATCTGGATTGCCCCTAGGACTAATTTTGGATGCCCCAAGTTTATTGCTGATAAGCTGTGTGATGCACGACAATTCTTGCGAATAGCTTCACTTCTAACATGCCCCGAGCTATATGGTTGATGAGAAGAAATCGTCTCAAGAGGATTTTACAAAAGACCTGGCATTCACCATGCTCTGGTGTCTTCAAACTCTTAGAGAGATTCGTCAAATCTCGAAGTGATTGCCCTGAATTGACTGTAGTTGGCACAACGAAGTCTTCAAATTTTTGCCCCAAAAGAGTAAACAAGTTGGGAAAACATTAACTGGGAGAAGCAACATGTCCATGTTCAAGGTCTTTAGGTGACATGCCCCTGGATATGATTTTTCTTGACGTGATCCGCCAATTACTCAACATAGTTTCAGGCCTTAAAAGAATAAACTCATCACTGGTGCTTATGTGAGCTTCCTTGATATCAAACAAATGTTTTGCAGTTAGAAAAAGTTTAAAATGAGAATGAAAATTCTAATGCAACAGTTATGTAAGTCTTGAAGATTTTGAAAGATATCGCACAAATTTTGCGAGTTAAAGCACCATTTATTTTTGTATGGGAAAAACATATGATACCAACATAACTATTTAGAACATTCATGGGAGTCAGGAACACTATCTCATTGAAGTATGCTTTCAAAATAACCTTGCTTCAATTAGGACTTTTGAAGGTTGTAACGTGGTCTGGTTCATG